ATGGAGGACACAAAGGGGATTTAGTTGGAGGGATCAGTTTAGTTGGATACAGAGGGTGTAGGAGAGCAGCCTCCTATGAAAACAAGAAGAGTAAACAGAAACAGATTAATGGATGCAAAAAAGAAGGTTTGGACAGAAAGCAAAGTGCTTGTCTTGCACCTTTTTTACATTTCATAGGGCTTGATGATTAGCTAGGAAAGATACTCTACCTTCATGCCAATACAATTGCTCTACACTAAGCACTTTCATTAGCATGAAAGTACACACAGAAAAACCTGCAGTAGATGTCCCATTAAACCAGTTACGCTTCAGCTGGGGTCTAGTGCACCTCCTTCCAGCAGCTCAACTGATGCTCGAGTGACAAAAAAAGGAAAGCCCAGAAGGATCTTGTGCCAAGATAAAATGGCCACGTTTTGGGACATTTTCTGAGAGGGTAGATTGGAAGCAAAACCAATCTGAAAAAGGAGTCTGAGGTACAAAAGAAAGTCTACTTTATCTGTGTACTAGCAGGAGCACTTCAGGCTTTTTAATAAGACTCTGACAAGCCTTTTCGGCCATTTAAGAGTTAAACCATTGAAGGTGCACATACAATATCTTTCACTACTGCAAGTTGTCAGCATTTAATAGTGTTTCTGTTTAAAAAAACCCAATACATATGTGCTTTTGCACCTAAAAGATAAAATCTTTTTAAAAACCTGAGTTTTAAAAGATTTGGGATAGAGTCAAGGCGGCATACTCAGGTTTTGGCTCAAATCTTGTGCTTAGGTTTTGTCGAGGCCATGGACACAATACATCCTGAATTCTCACCCGCTTGTCTGGCTGAGTCTAGACAAGAAACTCTCCTGCATGCTGTGCCTTTGAGCTCAAGACCCAGCAAATTTGTGACAAGAGCTGCAATTAGCTCCAGCAGAAGCTGATGTATCGCCTGTTGAAAGAGTGAGCATGAGCAAACGAGCGGATCAGAGCCCAGTGGCGGTGAGAGCAGCTGGAAGGGAACCAGGCAGCAGGAAGGGGACCAGACAGCAGTTGCTTCACAACGACCTTGTCTCCTGCCGCTCCTCCTCAGAGGCACCAGCCCTGCTTCCATTAATGATAAACCTTGCAAACTGGCCTCATGGCTTCCTGCCAAGTGTAACTAATATCTCTTTAGTTCATCCTTATCTTGCTCTTCCATTGCCCAAAGTGGTTTATTTTTTTTTAATGACAAAGAAGCCCGTGTACCTTCTCGTTAATAAATATTGGCAAGCGTCTGAATTCTCTGACATTGATTATGAGTTGTTTTCATATCACTATGTTACAAAATGCTCTATTTTTTCCTAAAAGAAATTCCGTTTCCCCAGTTTCAAATGAAAATGTTCATGAAACCGTCACATCAACGCTGCTCACAAGTTACTTATAGTTCCGGTACATTTTATGGTGCTTTTTTGAACAAATTGGAGAGTACTTGTAAAATTCCTGAAATATTATTGAAATGTGCTAAGCAAGAGGAAAAAAAAATATTTCTCATGATGGGGAAATTGTCATCTCCAGTGAGGCACCTAAGCTTAATACTGTCAGGTTGGAACCTCAGAAATACAACACTCTGTCTGTAACAAGTGTTTGATGGGGGGATATCCACTGAATAGCCAGTGCTGCAAGTTGTGTACATCCTTGGGGGGGAAGGCAATATCACCTAACATGAGAAAAAGCCGAAATAAAATGGGATTTTTCCCTGGTTTGTAAATTTCACTGAAACACCAGTGTCAATCTATATACTGCTTAGCCAGAACACAGACAAAAAGAGCTATCTGTGAGCTGAGCTACATTCTTTCCAGATGATCCTTACTAATTTAGAAATCTCTTTTTGTCTCCATCCATTACTTTGGATTATCTGCATGAGAACAGCTGCCTGTTAAAGCAAAATTACTATTTTTTTTGTGCAAGGGAAATGACCTTTTCCATATGGGGACATTTTTTAACAAAGTGAAAAGCAAACAAGCTACTTTGTTGTGCAAAAAAAAATGTGTTCCACAGAGAGATGTGAAGATGAAGGTCAGCTGTTATGGCTGGCTGCATCATTATGTCTCAAGCTGAATGTCACCCACATAGTCACCAGTGCTCAGTGTCACACTGGGAGGTTTGGCAGGGAGGGGAGGAACTGCAGAGGCCTAAGAAAAATCAAACCAGAGAAGTTAATAAAGCTGGTGCCATCTGGAACCTCATCTAGTCTGTACCACCCTCGAAGATGCAGCCTGAAAGGGTCTGTCTTTTCAAGATGGGCCAGGTGAAGGAGGGACAGCAACGTCACCCAGAGAGGGTGAATAGAAATGTAAGGGCCAAACATCCCACCAGGACTGGGAAAATCTCCAAAGAAAACCAGGGAAAATCAGTAACAATATGAGCAGTTTTGCCCTCAGCCCACAATAGATGCTTGCTCAGTTCTTATTTGAGGACAAGGGGACAAGCACTGACTCTTCAGCAGAAAGCCTAGCTGCTAGTCTCCTAGTTTTAATTCACAGTTCTTATATCCCATGAAAGCAGTCAATTTACTTAATTTTGGGGTAATATTGGTGGGAACACCTCCTACTCTTTGGAAGCCAGCTGCTTTGCAGACAAAAACACTAACTACTGAGAGCAGGTGAAGAGCAAGAATGAGTGTCCTTGTAGGCTGATAACCCTGTGGCTAGGGACAACCACTGCAATTTTCAAGCTGTTGCCTGGGCACCGAGCCCAGTCCCAGAGGCAGTACTGCAGCCCTCCTACAGGCACTGAAGCCCTTCAGGAGAGTTTCATAGTTCATCCTCACATCAGAACTCAAGTCTCCTCTACTCACAAGGGACTTACATCAGCACCATGAACCTACTCTGAGAGGCAAGAGCTGAAATCATAAGCATATGCTGTGCTGTTCAGCACTTTAGTGTTTTCCTCAGATCTGGCTGATATGGTACTATTAATTGTTGTATTAGACCACCACTAGAATCACGTAGCCATTTCTCACACAACCAAAACCAGTTCCTGTTAAGTCAGTGAATCTATCTGAATACAGCTCTAAGTACTTCCTTTTCAAAAGAAAGACATCTTAATAGAGATCTCCCAAAATAACAGGTATTTTACAGCAACCTGTGGTATTTCTTAGGTTAGGATAAAAATACTAATTTATCAGTACTTTAAAGCATATGACATTGTTCTTTTAAATAAAGGAAGGAAAACTGAAAATATTCATTGTGAAATTAACTTTTCCATCTATCCAAGTCAGTGCACTGTTTGTTTAGTTCTTTTAATACATAGCTTTCATATAAAAAAATTTTGGCTTTTGTTATGGCAACCACATTTATTCATGGACTTATTATATCCCCAGTACTTCAGTAATATGTACCATATGTAATTTACAAAGTGTAAGTTGATTGGTTTTCACAATTAGCTTCAAATATCAGAAAGCTTCTGACTATGGCAATAACCTCAGGTTTGTATTTGCCTGAAAATATAAAGTTTGGTGATTGCATCATTCCTCCTCAGCAAAACTACAGCCAGCAGAATCAGTGCCCAGCCCTTACAAAAGGGTGATATGAGCTGCCCCTGCCTTTGTAGAGATGCCTCGTTGAGGTGGCCTGGACCAGAAAGTCTCTAGCAGCAGCTTTAGGTCAGCTCTCCTCCTCTTTCATTCCAAGTGAGTGGCAGCACAGTGCCTTGGCATCAGAAGGTTTCCAGTAAGCAAAACGTGAAAAATTCACTATGAACTCACCTGTAGTCTCTGAAGTCAAATATTCACTGTCAACCTCAAAAGTTTGGAGACAAATTGTAAAACATTTTTATGCATATTTTCTTGTATTTTACAAAAACTCTACATTCTATAGAAACTTACAGAATGAGACACCTTCTGATGCCACCCATACATGTTGCTGAAACCCACTAATATTATATAAAAGTCTGTCTTTGTTTGTAATGCTGCAGTATGAACTGAGAAGTTGCCAGGATTGTCCTACAGCAAGTCAGAGCTATGGGGAGGGATGGAAAGAAATAAAATGAAAATCTTTTAAAAATTTAGTTATAAAAGGAAGAAGAGAGGACTGCTATTGCTGAAGTCTCTCTCTAATGTGACTAGAGAGGCATAGGAGTAAGAGAAATTCAATTAGTAACGTATTTTATTCACATCATGTCTGGCAAGAGGGCTATTGGCTTCACTTTACTAGATGGAAGATTCCGAACATACTGGATAGGTTAATAATAAGCTCCTACCAAGGACATTCAGATTATGTATCGCAGTTAGGGTTTAATTCACACTAATGCACACAAACGCAAGAGAAAAGGCTGACAGAACCATTTCCCTGGAGTTTCTCTGAGATGATGCCTCATACAGGTCAACAAAGTTCAAGATGTGTTTTTGCCAAGTGATGCTGTGGCTTTATGCAGAGGTCTGTGGGAGAAGACAGGATTTTTCTTGCTCCATGGGTTGCCCATTAATGCTCCTCACAGCTGGTAGAAGAGCTGTACCCTCAAGCTGTGGTGGGACATGAATGTGGACCTGGGGAGCTACACACCAAGGAATGACAAGGAAACTCACTGGGGCTCCTCCCATCTCCCTTGGAGAGGGAAGAGTGAACCTTGCCCAGTCCTTTCTGTCCTCATTTCTCTTTAGAGAGGATTCAGGTCTGGAATCCTCCTCAGGTTCCTCCTCCCAAATGGAGGAAGCACTTTCTGGTAGATCTGATCCCAGACACCTGCTAGAGAGGGGAGCACAAGATTTCCGCTTTCTTTTGTACAGTATTTCCCACAGATATCATAAAAAGGTCCTTTCCTCAACATACAGGTTTTTAGATCACCAACAAATAAGTCCCTGTAGAAAGCCCAGCTGCCCATCTCCAGCCTGGAGACTTTGCTCCAGGATCCAGGTGCCCCTTGGCGAATCATCTAACTTTGCAAAAAAAGAAGAGACCAGGACAAGGCATGGATCTAAGAGTACTCCATCATCTTTAAGGAAACTAGCTGAGGCTACAAAATCCTTCAGAGTGAGAGTTACTCACCTGCTCAATATCTTGATCACTGATTTCTTCAAGGTACTTTTTAAAAGGATTGGGCTGATAGGGCTCCTCCTTTTGCTGTGTACTCTTTCCTTTCACCAGCACGGGACGAATGACGCCAGGTTTTGTCTTGACCCATACCACATCCAGGAGAAAAGAGATGGAAGAAAAATAAAATAAAATGCTTTACAATTTACAGAATATTTTTTAGACAAGGCAACTTCAGTGGGGCTGAACAGACTAGATTTTTTTAAATTTCATTAATAACATATTTCACCATCGAAATCATTCAAGTGTCGTGCTGCCTGGCCTACTTTTAATACAGATTGTGGACAAAAATGGCAAGAGCTGTTTTTATGCCCAGAATCTCATGACTGACATCTGTTGGTTACCAACACAAAGATAGATGCTGGGCTGTCAGATTATGGTTTGTGGGCTTTGTTGGCTAGTTTTGTTAGCTGTTCAGGTGCTTCTTGATAAGGTCATCAAGTCAGACTTTATGCACAACCACACATCTGCTTTCACTCTGGCTCCTCAAAACAGTAACTGTGAAATAAGGAAGGGCAACCTGATGCTGTTAAGCTACACTCAGGCAGCAACATATTAGGGGAAAGTCTTTCTGGAGAATAATACCAGTGACTGCATGCTGGATTTTGACAGCATCTTTAAGAGTTCACTTGGAAAAGTACAATTTTAGAGATTTTAATCAGGGTTGATGTATGATACCCCTCATTTCAGACAAATCAGGTTATTTAATCAAGAAAAAGTCTCTTGGTTAGCTACCAGCCAACCAAAAAATTGACTATTAACTTGTCAATTTAGTACATCTGTGATTTTCAGAATTCTTACAGTAAAGTCTGACATGATGGATTGTGGCATAAACTCTAAACAGAGGCTAGGGTATAATTTTAAAATAGATAACTTGTTTGGTAAGCAAAGAAAAGGAAGAAAAAAGTGTACATTCTCACTGGAATTTGGTAAGTACTGAAGTCCTGGAGGGGTCTGTGATTGAATTTAAACTTTCAAATAAGTTGATTATATTCTTCTCTGTTATGGATAAACCGTAGAAAATGGCCAGTCTTTGTCACAACTGATATAGGCAACAACAGGACTGCTGCTGAGTAGCTTCTATGGTTGCAGCCCAGAGGGGCAGCTTGTTCATCTGGGACTGAGAAATAGGTACTGTCATAGTTCCCCATCCTCAGTACCCAGTGGGGTATAAAAATGCAGAAAAGAAACTCGATTCACAATTAGATTTATTTATAAGGTTTAGGCTATGTACATTTAACAACTCCATGCTGCCCGTTTATAAGAGCAATACACTTAAGCAGTCTGTCTGGAAAAAAAAAGAAACTTAGCGTGGCTACCAGGTCAAGGGAGGTGATTCTGCCCCTCTGCTCTGCTCTCGTGAGACCACCTGCAGTACTGTGTTCAGCTCTGGAGTCCCCAACACAAGAAGGATACGGAGCTATAGGAGCTAGTCCAAGGGAGGGCCACGAAGATGATTCGAAGGCTGGAGCACCTCTGCTATGAAGACAGGCTGAGAGAGTTGGGGCTCTGAGGTGAAGGCAGCAGAGGTAGTAAGGAGCTCAATACACATAAGAAAAGCAAGGCCTAGGCAGCAAAAAAATCTTCCCTTAGCTTTGTGTTTTATCCCCTCCCTCCTTTCCACAGGTTGGGGCCCTTTCATCTGCCTTTTCGAATAAGAAGATACATATTCAACTGAAAGCAAAAAATCAGCCATGAGGTGATACTAGTTTTTTTTAAAAGAATGATAACTGCCAAGTTACATTAAAAACTTTTTAATTAAGAAGGTCAACTTAGTGAAAGATGCAGTGCTCATTTAATGGATTATAGTCCATAGATCACGACTATTTCTTTGTAGGATTAACTGTAAAGTACTTATTGTCCTCTCCAAGATTTCTGAGAAGAGTTTGTAAAAGTAAGACTCCTGGCTTTCAACAGAAAGCTAAACATAAAAATAAAAAAAGCAGCTACAGTTGTTATGAAGTCATCATTACACAGACAAAAGACCTGTGGCCTTCTCACACTCCTCCACACCTTGTAACCATGCAAATAAAAGCCCATCGAGGTACCTGAACTCACCAAGGATAAGCTATTCTCCTTAGGTAGGAAACCTCTTCCAAAAGTACGCTATAGAAATGCTTTTAAGGAAGCATTTTCTAAACAACATCATGCACTCAAGTGCTGATTGAGTCATATGTTTATGTCTGACTCTGCTAACAGAGTCACAGATATCAGCCAGCAACCAGAATTTGAAATACTCTATTAGCTCCCAGACAAGTTATATAAAATCTTTGATACAAAACTAAAAATTCGACTTCTTTCTTTGATAGCAGAAGACACAATTGACACTGCTGAGAAACAAGCTAAAACTTAGTCTTGCCATGGAAAGTGTTGGTCTTCCTACAACAGCTCTGAGAAATGGTAAAGGCTGTTATGGCAACAATGAGCTGCCATCATACGGCTACAGCCCAATTAGCGAATTACACAGGACCAAGACACAAGCTCCAGAGCTGACCCATAATCAGTTGTACTGATTCGGTGCCAGGATGCTCCCTGGCATGGTTTTGGCCCAGATCAGCAAACGCAGAGTCAGAAATAGGAGGACAGGCTGGGCCAGGGCACCTGTCGATAGACAGTATGGTCATGGCCACCCTTCTTCAGCAACAAAAGATATTTTGGCTGTACTCAAATGAGCCTTGCATGATATTTAACTCAAAAGTCAGAAGACTGAACTTCTCGTTGGTAGGTGTGTGGGCTTGTTCACCTCTAATTTTTTCCTCTGTTATTATGACACTGGTTGTCCCTGAGATCTTGCTGAAACTGGTAAGGTCCCAGTTGCAATCCTGTTCCTCTCAGCAGAGGCCTAAACTCCTGTGAGCCCCATGTTTCTCCTAGACAAGTCACTGTCACTTCCCCTTATCCAGAGCATACAGACATCCCCAAAGTATATAGGGCCAAACCCTTCTTTGGTAGTTAGCAATGACTGCAGTCACACGTTGCAGTGCTCTGTGTCACTACACAGATATGAAGTCTTTCTGGATACCTGAACAGCTTTCCTGTAAACAAGAAAGTTGCTTCTTAAAGTTTAACAAGGAATTGGCTTTTTAAAATGTTTTCGATGCAGGGCTGTTTTGAAGCAGCCAGGCTCTGAGACAACCAGATAAATGATTAATGAAAATATGACATGATCAGATAGAAATGTATAACAAAACAGGAGAGCTAGCCTTGGGATAAAAGAGTTAGCTGCCCTCTCTCTCTCTTCCTTTCTGCACCGAGTCCTTCAGACCTCACTTAACACCTAGCAAGCACCAAGTCTGTTTGTCTGCAGAGCTTTTATATCCAACTTTTCTGTACAAATAGTCACTTGTAGTCTTTGAAGCCTTCTGTTTCAAATGGGATAACCAAAAAGTTCCCTCATGGAGAGGAACCATTCACAGTTCTTTCCAACAAACTTATCGTTTTTTGGGGGAAAGAGACCCTGAGGCAGATGGGGCAAGTATGCAATGCAGCAAACGCAGCAAATACTGTCATCTTCTGTCAGCACTGAGAAGAGTCATCTGAGGAGCCTATAAACTATTGAGAGCACCTGCTTTCAGATGGTGAGGAACTGGCTCCCTTGTCAAGAAGGAGCATTGCCACTTCCACTGTCAACAAAAGGATGCTTTTGTCCTAACAATACAGACACAGACACTTTGTCTAGTTGAACTGTGGAGCACATTAAAATATTCCTCTTCTGTTTCTTTTCTGCCACAGATTAGTCTTCACAAGGGGAAATACATTATTGAACATATTATTTTATTTTTATTTCCCTTCTAAGAGGCCTTACACTTGCAAAAATGCAATAAAACATTCCAGGCATTGTATCAGTCTACAATGAAGTTCTCCTTTAGTATATTTGAAGATGTGAAGTCATATAACTGTGGTTAAAAGGACTTCCTCTTCCTCCTCATTCACATCACTGAAAAGCCTAGAAAGAAAGGATAGTTATTTTCTCCAACTTCATGCTGAAGCAGCAATAGGTCTTGCACCAGAGCACAGACAACAAGGACAGTCGCCTGTTTGAAATTCATGTTTTCTTTATTTTTGTTCATACTGAAATATTGCCTTTCAAGAAACAGATGAATTTTCAACAAGATGTCGGATACCATACTGTATTATGATTCCCACTGACTCTGTGCTAAACTAAGCTGAAACTAAAATCAAGAGATTTAGCCCTTTTCCATTCTACTCACAGTACAGGGATGAGTCTTCTCTTCAACAGCTGGAGAAAAGGGATAGACTCACAGTAAGAATTGTTTGAAAGAGGCAATAACCTCTGCTACCATTCTGGGACCAGCAGAGGAGCAAGTCTGAGATCAGAAAAGGGAGCAGGTTTGCCCAGGCACTGCTCGCTGCCAAGGCTGGTGGCAGGGAAGAGAATAAGGGCAAGCCCTTAACACTGATGCTGCTCTCTGCTTCCCTCTCTGCTTCCTTCCCTTTCTTCAGGAAACTCTTTTAGCATATTTTCCTTTGATATGTCATGAATCTCTTTTGTTTCCTACTTTGTTATGTGGTGACTCTGTATGGACCACTCCTTAGTATAACTGACACATTTCACTTCAGTGATGCCTGCCATTTGGTGCTTCAGAAAGTATGGATATAGACCCATGTCAAGGACTGCCTTCCAGAAGTCACTCATCAGTGCTCAAAGGTCATTAAATCATTTGTAGCTGGACAGATGCACCCAAAACCCCTGATTTTATGCTACATCTGACAACTATCATAGAATAATAGAATCATAGAATCATAATCACAGAATTGTAAAATGGTTTGGGTTGGAAGGGAAGATCTCCTAGTTCCAACCCTTCTGCCATGGGCAGGGACACCTGCCTCTAGATCAGGTTGCTCAAAGTCTCATCCAACCTGGCCTTGAACAATTCCAGGGATGGGGCATCCACAGCTCCTCTGGGCAACCTATTCCTGTGCTTCACCACCCTCAGATTGAAGAATTTCTGCCTTATATCTAATCTAAAGTTTAAAGCCATTGCCCCTTATCCTGTCACTCCATGCCCTTGCAAAAAGTCCCTCTTCAGCTTTCTTGCAGACCCCCTTTAGGTACTGGAAGGCTGATAGTAGGTCTTCCTGGAGCTTTCTCTTCTATGCTATATTTGATGTAATTTTGAACTGAAATAGGTCTTAAAAGATGTTGAATTTAGTACTGTTTCACTTGAAAGCGATCACACCATAGTTCTTGAGATGTCATATTCTCAACCATGGTTTAATTAATTTCATGAAGCTTTGGGCTCAACAGCTTTAAATGTAGGAAATACAGAAACCTCACTAATACATGTGTTTCGAAATGAATTAAGTAGAGAAAAAATACTTCAAGCTGCCAAATTATATCTAAAATACCTCAGAACAAAAATACACTATAGAAATATGTCTAGATATTAAATGAAACACTCCAGCTTTAACTCCATGACCAGACCATGAGGATTGTTATCCATTTTTCTCTAATGCTCTTCTTCCTTCAAATGCTTGAACTCATCTTCTTCTACTTAGCCTTGAGTCCCTGCAACACTAACCACAATTCTTTTCATGCAAGAAACTGCACTGTGTTTTCTGTTACTATCTTTTAAACCTTCTTACAAAATAGAGAAATACCACTCTGTATTTGCTCTAAATATATATGCCTCCTCTCCTACTATTTTTGTGTATAAATACATTTTGATAAATCCTTCCATTGCACACTCAAAACATGTGAATGACTGTTGCAGCATTAACATTTCTGAACCAAAAAAATCTAGGAAAATGCTACCAAGGTATGCAAGACTGATCGCACACGAATTTTGTCTTAATTGCTTAATATATAAAGAAAAAAAGTTATAGTTAATGATAACAGTAATATTGTGTGTAGTGTTGGTGTTCTGGGTATGGCTCTGCACTTTGTTATCATGAGTCATTCATAGTCATCTTTTAAAAGAGTAGAAAATCTGTTGATGAGAGTCATAGTGACATGCCCAATGCTTTGTCTGTCCATTGGACAAAAGTCAAATAGTTGAGCAGTATAGATAAGACATTTCTGGTCACCATAAATAATTGGTCTATGGTATAGTCAGTCAGAGACTGAGGAGAAGTAATTACCTGAATCATAAATCTTGCAAAATTTCTAAGTCAAAGTGAGAAGAATCATTCATGAATAGAGATCACAATGTGCTCAGAGACAGCATTACTCTCTGAACAAAAGACACATACAAGAATTCCACTGTAGTGATTTCAATTTAAAACAAGTGAAATAAAATATATAGTTAAATAATTAAACTAGTTATTAAAAAAGAGTAAAAAAAAAATCAAAGGAGCTGTCAAAAGAACGAAATGGTTGTAAGTGACCAGAACACTGTTTAAGAGAGTAATGTTTCAGAGAAGCTGTGCATCAACTTATAAGAAGACTTTAAAAGATCAAAGAGTAGTGTAAAGGAGTGAAAAAGGGAATAAGGAGGAAAAAGCTCCAAAGATAGAAAGTTGTATTCAAATACAGTTTAGAGGAAAAAAGAAAGAAGAGAAAAAAAAAAAAAACCAAACCACACTTGCTAAATTTCATTACAACTGAAAGTTTATGGGGCCAGTAGATATAATCAAGACATAAGAAAGAGGTATGAAGAAGAGGATACTAAGGCTGAAAATTAATTCCTCACTTCAGCTCTTCTTACAGAAAAACTTAGGGAGCTTCTCACACTGGCAACTAAACAATTTGGAGGAACTCTCTCAAGTACAATGTCAATAAGACAGATTTGAGAACAAATCAATAAAATGAGCAAATAAAGTGCAAGGAATAAATAAAGTTCTAAAGAAACTCCAGTGTGAAATTGCCATGCTATGAATCATGATATTTAACTTACTCCTTCAGATATAATCAGCTCCAGAAGAATGAGAAGTGACAACTGTGGGGCAGGTTTTCCTACAGGATCCTGAAGGGGACCAGGACCCATGACATTTCAAGCTGTGCAAAGCAGTAGGAACAAACGATACTAAAGAACAGAACTAGTATACATTTGGACAAAAAATAGGGAAAGGCTTTTGAAAGGGCACTCATGCCTGACAAATCTTTTACAGTTATTTTAGAGTCAGTGATGCAAGAAAGCTGGCTAATATGGCAGATGTAGGTTATGTTTAAACTAGCGATACGAGAATTTTTCAGCATCTAGGAACACACATTAGGTGAAATCAAGTGAAAATCAACAGACCATCTTAAGTGAGGCTCAGTGTTTGGATTTTTTCCCACCAGGTCCCTAAATGCATGACTAGGGATAATAAAATGAGGTTGCATCACAGATTATAAAGTTCAGTGGATGTGCAGCCATGCTGCACTTGGATTTCCAAAGGCTTTGGTGAAGGTCTTTCAGCAGGGTCTACTAAAGAAACAAAACTATTATGGAGTAAAAGATAATATTTCCTGTGAACTAGTTAAAAGATAGGACAGAAAAGGTTGGAATAAACTTCAGAGTGGAAGGAAGACAGAAGTAGAGTTCCTCAGAGGCATGCTCTGGAATCCGAGCTTTGAATCGTGGATGTAGATCAGCTAGAAAAGAGTGGCTACTAAGGTGACAAAGTTTACTGGTAATACTGAATCATTCCACGGAGTAAAAACAAAATATCAGTGCAAAGAGTTGCAGATAGATCTTATAATACTGAATGAATGAATGATAAAAAGGCAGGTGAAACTTAACCGAATTCAACACTGATACATTTCACAGGGAAAAACTAAACTACATCCTAAATTTACACATGCAGTGATGAACTGGTTAGCTCAGAAACTAACTCTCACTACTCAGGAAACATAACTTGAATTTATCGCATACAGTTCTATGTAATGCTCAATATAAGTAAGAATAACTAAATAAATTACTGGAATTGATAAGAAAGGAATAGAAATAACAATGAAGAACCTTATCACATCATCATGTAAACAGGAAGTGCTGTGTTCAGAGCTAGACAAGAGCAGTTTATGGTTTTAGTCTCCCAAACTCAAACACAAAAACCTGAAAAAGATATAGAAAAGAGCAACAAGGATCATCAAAGATATGGGACACTATCCATACTTCCTGAAGAGTGATAAAGCAATTTTGACTTTCCTGTATGAAAAAGAGATGACTGATAGGGTATTATGGTTAATATCCAGAAAATCATTAATATTATTTAGAAAGTGAAGAAAGAGCTATTATTTGCCATTTCAGTACAAGAACTGAGGTCAAGCGGTAGGTTTAAAACAGAGAAATAAAGCACTATTTCACATGATGCATAATTAAAAAGTAAACTCTATTGCTACAGAATGTTGTAGAGACCAAAGTACAACAGGATTCAAAAAGTAACTGGAAAAAGTCATGAAAGAGGTGGTCAAAGATTACCAAAAAGAAGAAATTGATTCAGGAAGTCCCTAAAGTTCCATTAGTTGAAATACAATGGAGAAATTCTCTCATTCACATCTCATTTTTTCCCCAAGTATTCATTAGAGGTCACTATCACTTGAACAGGCTCCATGACTACTCTTCTTCAGAAAGTTTGACTCCAACAGCACTAGATTGTGATCTGATGCATCATCTTCCTTTCTTTATTCGATTTTATCCTTGCATTTCACTAGTTAAGCCAGCTTTGATTTAAACCAATATGTAAGAAAAAAATATATGCCAGAATGGTGTTGCATAAAAATAAAATTTTAGAATTGGAATATTAAGAGTACAAGAACAGCAGTAGACTCTATAGTTGTCATAGACCTCAAGATTCAGCAAGGCTCTGTTTTGTCGTTTGGATTTACAAGTGGCACCAGGATTTACAGTTACTTGAAACAGGTGTATATTCAGTACAGAAGAAAGCAATGCAGCTTTGTAGAAGCAATGCAGCTTTGTAGGAGAATGACTGCAGCTTCTTTCAAAGTCTAAGAAAGTAAATAATAATTACTTTAGATTTTGATTACTTCAAATTTTGAAAAAAAGCGTAACAGCTGTGCTTTACATACCAGCTGACTGTCTGTCATCATAGGTGTCGATTTGTAAAGGTTGGCCTGCAAAAAAGGTAAATATATACAGTATCACAGACATTATCACAGTTTTTATTGCAATGACAGAAGAAAAATCCAAAAGGATAAGGTTTTTCACTGATGATGGTTCACTGTTTCACTGTTAGTGGTTCCTGAATAGCAAAGTAATGCGTTAGCATTTGCCATTTCACTTGTATTTTTCTGAGGCCTCTTTTAAGAGGAGGAAATATATATGGACAGCAGTATGCTTAGGTACCGAAGCTTTTACCACTGATGCAGTGATGCACAATTGACAAGAGAAGCTAAAATATTGTCATTTCCATTTTATCTCTAGGTATAATCAAAAAAGAATGCCTGTCGTTAAAATTTTAGGGATACTCTAAGTGCAACAAAATTTCACTTTTTCATCTTGATCTAATCTTGAAAAATATATCTTAATATTTCTGAATCTGCCTTTGTCTGTTAATTTGCAGCATCAATGTTATTAACACTATCAGTTGTGTAGGAAGCTCAGTCTAACCTTTCTTATCCTTCTGACTTTGCATTATGAAATCCAGAACAGTCCTACTCGAGCGTTATGTTTTCTATGAATATATATTGAGGAGCAGAAGCCCTGTTTCAAGGATCAAGGGTAAATGTGCTAAATGCAAAGCATCTGTGTTTGTATGTGATATAGTCATGTGCCACGTGCTGCGGCAAGAGTCAGGACTTCTGGTGATCAGCTCCTTCAAACTCTGTAGCAGTTCCTCTGGATAACACCGTGTTTCTGCACAGATAACATGCCTATCCTTGATGTGGGCGTGATTTGCAGGCCTTGAGACTCTAAAATGTGAGAATTCTTCAGTGTAGTGGTAAAAAAGTACTAGATACAATGGTTAGATGTTATGGCTGTAGCATAAGACAAGTCAGTGTCACTACTGCACCTTCTGTAGAATCATAGAATCATAGAAGGATCACTACAGTTGGCTTTTTGTTGACTCAACCACATCTTCTCACCGTTCAAGCAGAAAAGCAATTCTAGCACGTTTGGAGAGAAAAAAAACCATGGTTTTCCTTTGCTCCCCCATGACAAAGACTTTGCAGAGATTTGGCCACAGAACTCTAGCTGTGGTCTCCTAAGTGCTAAACAGAGATGTTGAATCACTCCCTGGACCTGCTGGCTCGGTTCCTTCATTGGTGGTGAGAATAGTGTCACCACGAGTCATGGTGGAAGACTGTGCTCCTCACTGAGAGCGCACTCACGTCTCTGAACACAGCATCTGGCGGAGGAAGCCTTCCCACTCACACAGGGACAGCAGTGATTTAGCACTAAATCTGCAAGTACATCTTCTGCCCTTAACAGAGTAAAATAGAATTTTTACTAGTGGTTACTTACGTACTAAAGATTCATGTTATTAATCAAGTGTGACGACCAACCTCATTGTGAGCTTAAAGACATCAAAACACTTCAGAATGATCTACAGATATAAGTAGCTGGCACTAAATTATCTCACTTTGGTGGTGCAAATTAAGAGCAAACTTCATTTCAAAGGGGTTACTTGAAATGTATATAAGCACAGCAGACCACAGATGAAGAAAAATGCTACTTATTTCTGCACATCTGTGCATTTGTAGCTGCTTTATGTACTCTCATTTTTTCACTTCTCAGTTTGAAGTTTGTAACACTTAAAAAGGAATTTCTGTAGAATAGAACTGTAAAGAAGAACAAAATTGTCAATAATATGCAAAGTAATTATTCCAATTAATCATGAGAAACTATTTTTAAAATACTTGTAAGTGGGGCTAAATGACAAAATCATAAATTTGATAGAATTTGGAATTAAAGTTAAGAAAGCTTTCCTAGGTGACAGTAATTATATGGAAACAAAATAACTAAGTACATGTATTAGAGCACTCAATAGCAATAAAAGTCATTTACTTAGTGAATTATTACGTTTACATTATTAAAAATCAGCAATATCATCCCTAAAGCCAACAGAAATACACTATCATAAAATGGTGAATAGGATCATATAAAATACCACACAGTTTAAAAAGCTATTAAATGACAACTGTAGTGGTTAGTTGGTACAAACTGCTGTAATTTAACTGAAGTCAGACCTTTCTCAGTACTTTTTATACACTCCCTTACTGTTTCTGCAATCATTTACAGCCTTAAAAGGTTCTGAAGTGCATGAGAAGACAAAGAGTAATTGAGGCCAAGACAAACCTATGCCATTTTAATTGTTAAGTGGCAGGATATTTCAACATATTTGTGCAGTCTACTACTGCATATAACCTATTGAATTAATTAGTAATATTATCATGTGTGTATACATATATATGTGCTTGTGTGTTTATAAATAATGCTTTCATATGATGACAGATGTTCCTATCCCTGACTCATAAACAAATTAAAGCTTTTCTTTTAACTGAAAACACCCTCAAAGCAACATTTTGACAAATTTCTCAATATCAGACATCATGCATACAAAAGAATTAAGAAAATTATATTGCTAAATTACCATTTTAATTCTTTCTAGTAAAACTAATTCAATTGCATAAAAGAAGAGCTTACTTCTAAAGGAAAAAAGATTTGCTAAAAGAGATGTTAAAAGAGATTGGCTGAATCATTACTCCAAGATAGCTCACATGAGACACCACAGATCTCCTGAGAGAACTCATAATTTGATATTGTAATAACAAATATCCTTATAACACTTACTTTTCAGTCTCTACCGGAGACACTGTTTGACTGGCTCAAAATAGGCATCTTGTTTCAAAACAGACATCTTGTATTAAGAAATGTTGCCCCCTGGACTACATCTCCTCTAGTCAACGAAATTCAGCACACACACAGGCTCAGGAACAGGTCCTTTGCAGTTAATGGTTAGCACACTCTTTTGCCTGCTTTGGTCCGCACCAACTATCACTCTTCCCGAGAATACTCCATCATGGTCCAGAGGGTAGCACAGAGCGTGCTACTCCCTGTAGGCTGAAGAGATGAGAGCACCTTGGTCCTTGTTCTGGGCTGGGAGGCTTGCTTTGAGAAGGGAGAAGCAAAATGGGAGGAGGAGAAGATAACTCTATGGAAAACCACTTCACTGTGACCTTGCCCCAAGGGGCAGAGAACAAGCTCCTATCTGGTTTATGAGCTGGGACAAAAATATCCTTTGTTTGTCTTACCTAACTGTATCCCTAGGCATATTAGTTGGATGCCTGAGTTTATGGTATATGTCAGCCACAGTTTTGGGACCTGGAAATCTGCACTGAAGAGGTATTAAATATACTCTGTTTTCACAGACTACCTCTGAAACACACTCTTTTATTTAATTAAAAAGCTCTCTTCCAATATTCTTTCTAATTAGTATGAGCCAGCACAATCTGTCAAGTAAAAATCACAGTATGCAATAAAATATGCATACCACCACATTCAAGAAGTAAAATTGAATTGATCAGTCAAGCATTGTGCTAGCATAAAACTGGAAGGCCTCTATTGCTTTGCCAGCAGTGCTTTGATTTGAGGTTCAATAGAAATGACGAATGATGAATAATAAGCAGAGATTTCTCACCACATGACTAGACGAATTGTAAGTAAAATATGGAACCTGCAGTAACTGTGTGTGCTAGTGAGAATTAAAATGTTAATTGGGTCTAATATTTCAATAATTGTACAGATGACTCAATATAGAGATTTTCTTTCTATGTTGGAACATGTGTATAAGTGTTCATCTAAGGCTAAACTGTGGGTTTTCAGCCAGCTCTATAGCATGGAAGGAAAAGATTGAGTCAACTCCAAATTCTGATGGATAGGCAAGAATCAAAGGACTTCTACCAAAGCAAGTCCCCTACAGTGCAGGTTGAGTTTGAACAAATACATCCTTCAACACCTGTAACAGTTTATTTGCCAAATAGCTGAGCTCTTGCTCCATGCTTGAACCAAACAACAACAAAGAAGTGTGTGAATAAATTAATTTCTACATCATAGTCACACAGGTAAAATTGTCAGTAGACACCACACTGAAGAGATTCCAGCCATGATGGATTTACAGCAGTGGGAAGATATCTCAAGTCTCAATTGCTAGTGCTCTAACATGCTCACTTCTCTGTACTAGAGTCAACACCTCATATTATGAGCAGATGCCTGTGTCTGCTGTGTGCAGACTCACCCAGTATCGCAGCAAAAGTAGATAAACAAGACATTTCTGCAAGTAAAACATAGAGTAATTATAAAAGTACTTACATATCTGGTTTCACGCCCAGCTGCTCTTTGCAGCGTTGTTGACACCTTGTACAAAACAAACAGATATATTAAGAGCAAAGGGTTACTCAAAGAGATTTTCATCATTGTGACAAGTTGTTAATTGCTCAAATTCAAGACAACTTCAGTTTTCAAGAAAGATTCATGAGATACATGAGAATAAGGTGTATTAAAGTTTTGCTTGAGATGCTTACTGTGGAAAATACTGTATTTCATTTTTACTTCTCAAAAACATTGATCACATTCTATTGAGGATGGTCTTTAAATTATCTCTCAGAACTCTCACAACAAAATGCTTATTAGTAGACAGCCGTAGATGTGGTTGTCCCATGAAATTTAAGTTACATTTGCTCACAAAATAACCTGAAATTGCACCTTTCCATGTTCTCATTTGCTTATAAATTATACTCCTTTTTCATTTTTATCTATGACTCTCTTCCACCCTCAGTTTAAGCACTTTGCTCTCTCATTCTAAAGTTTTCACAATCTTTAGCTTTGTCCCTATGCTGCATCCTGTTAAACTCACCTTTTGCCCCCTTTATTTGGTTTTAGCACTGCTAACTGATGTCTTCCATTTGGTCACGGCTCAATTCTCAATTGCCCAAGGAAGTAAGTTTTGGATGGTATAGATCAAAAGTCCAACTTAACAGTAGCATTTCAGTGCGGGCGCTGGAAAACATTTCCTCAATAACAGTCTCTGTCTGTTTTTTCTGCTACTATCCTGTTCCGTCTTTCAGCTGCCTGAAGCCTGATTCACCACTGCGTGCTGGTTGACAGAAGTAATTTCAAAAATGAAAATTAAATTTGAAGTGTGTATTGAACATACCCACTCAGGAATGCTGGTTCTGTGCCCTATTTTTGCATGGAGGACTGGACATTGTGCAGGATATTTTGAATGCATTAACTTTTTGATGTGTTCCTCTGCCAAAAATGCCTTTCCCCCTGTTTCCAGTTGGATTTCTGCCATTCTCACTTTCCTATAGCTAGTAACTTAAATTTACCTGGGGCAAACTGAATATAGGATCCTCCTCTCTTGGTTGTTCATCTTTCTGAACCCAGAAGGCACACAAATATAATATAGTGAAACCAGAAGTTTATAAAAAGTTATTCCTGCCTCTCACTAACTGTTTCTGAGTTATCCAGGACAAATGGCTGTAGCAGACATCCCCCTCCTGTGAGGGGCCAGAGTTGAAAGGAAATCAGCGCTTAAGTCTACGTACTAATTTAATTAACCCATTATTTGAAAATTAATAATGAATATAAAAAAATATTTGTTCTGAAAGATGTTTCCAATCACTGGAGCCAGAAACATTGGCTCCTCTCTAGTAAGGACCCATAGATGGGATGAAATCTGGGAGATGGCCAGAGACCCTGAAACATGGAACGCAAGGTATGAAGGATTTCTTTCTTGCAGATCCTAGCCTCTGAAACCTTAATAAACAGTTTCTCTTTCAGAACATAACTCCTTCTTACTTCAGGAAAGCATCCTGCAACGAAAACTGCATTGACTCCAGGGCTACAGTTCTGTCCTTCCATTTCCAGACATTCCAATTACCAGACAATACTACTGGTGTTGGATCTCTTAACTGAAGCTTTCTTTTGCCATAGGCTTTAAAGTTTGCTTTATGTCTACCTGGAAAGAGCATTTGGACTTATTCACCTACCTTGTTGACATCTGCCTCTGTGCTCATCTGCAGGAAACTTGGAGAAGATTCACATCGACGCTGGAAAATGATTTGCAACAGAGAATAGACTTATTAGTGACAAGTGACAAAAGGAAAGGGAGAGAAAAAGTCGATCCCCCATACAGATGGGTTACCATAGTCAATGGGTCCTGCAGGACTTGATCAATGACAGCACACAGCTCTTCTGTTTGTTGTCTGAGCTGGGCAGGAGAGCACATCTGAAAAAGGAGGACGCATCACTCAGTTAACCTTTGCTTTTTGAATTCAAATAGAGATTTGAAAGAGATATAACAGCACTACCTCTGAATGGGTGTCCAAAGCAGTGCCTTCAGCCCCACTAGCCATCTTGGCTGGCTCTTCTAATGCCTGCAATTCAAAAGATTTCGGTGTGATACTGAGTTCAAAATTTTAAAAACCAAGCAAACATACACTTTGCAATACTATGTTTCCAAATGTGGTACTTTTTGTTTCACCGTAGAAAGATGGAAAAAGAAGAAATTACAGGTCTAGTAAGGATCTTTGGGTTACCAACTTTTGATTCTGAATTGAGAGGGGCGGTTTGCAGAGAGGGAGAGAGCTACGTGAACCGTCTCTTCTTTTAGAGATCAGAAACTACCAATTTGAATTGTCTTCTCCTTCAACAATGCCCCCCTCCTTCACAGTAAATGTAAGGCGGCGAACGTGCACCATGTGCCCCAGAGGTGATGGATGGCTGCCTGCTGTGTGCCATCGGAGGAAAGCCTCCGGCTGTAAGCAGGCAGACAAGGTGGGGGTCTAAGAACACAGGAGGCACTTTCTTTTCCTTCAGTAGATGTTTTCTTTAAAAAGTGCCTCCTGTTTAAATGATTCCACATTGCAACAAAAACAGTGCTCAACGTTTTTGGATTTTAGCTTGAAATCAAAATTGTATAGAGTAAAATATGAGCTATACATATGCGATACCACACTAGAACACAACTGCTCTATGGAGGTATGCAATTTCTCCAAAATGAAACACAAGCTTCTTGGGCTTGGATATACCTCCTGCTTTCCTACACCTGTACATGGAGCAGGTTTCAGAACAGGGGGAATCAGTTTGCTGATCCCTCTGCTTTATCAAGAAACTCACAAAACACTCTCAAAAGCCAAACTCCAGTGCTCAGTTCCCTTTTCATCTTCATCCAGAGTCTGAGAGGCACATTCTCACCACTATCACCCATTTTTACTTTGAAGCGATTTTCAAACAGACTCCGTGCCGAGACCAGAAATTGCTCTGGAAGCCTGCTGATGTGATGCCGGACTACAGCAGAGGGACCTGCAGGGTTTGTGGACTTTTTTGTTTAACACATTATTTTTTTCTGAAGTTTCTTTTTGCTAGTTATTTGCAAAAAATAAATTATAATAAGAGAAAAAAAGAGCATTCACGTAAAGAAATTTTTCATGCATGTGGGATTCTGTGGGAACAGACTGATCCCAGTGCAGAGGATATCAGAGCTGACAGTCACAGAAGGCATCCATGGAGCTGAAGGAAAATGGCAGAATATTTAAAAAAAATAGAAAATAAGAGAAGTAATTATTTCTGAGTTTAATTTTACTGAATATATATTTTTTTCTCTCCTTGCCCAGCTACTGGCAGAATACATCTATCTATGTGTAATTGAAAAGTTAATGACAATTTACTTTTGATGTTATTTTAATACCATCCACAAATGAACTTGCACAGAAGCCCATTTATGGAACACTGTGTCTGCTATCAGAAAGTACAGTAAGAAAGAATGAAGAATAGTTTCTTTCCAGACACATTTCTTCCCTCTTTTCCAGCTTTAGACAAACCTGTTGGTCTTAGAGTAGTTAGAGTTCAAATAGAAAAAAGTAAAGGAATTATTATTTTTGACATACAGAAATTAATATAATCTTATCCCAAGACCAAAAATGAAAAGTTAAATAGTCTTTCTCATCTCTGCTGTCTTATCACTGTTTTCCAGCTAAATTCTCAAATCAACAGCCAGTCCTGTAGAAGAGAAAGGCTCAGCTAGAGAGTGCTCAGCACTACACTGCAGTACCATGTCCCCTGTTCAGCTTCACTCAAGATTACATACTCCTGGTAAACATAAAATGAAGTGATAAAATGAAGTAGAAGAGTCATTCCAGTACTTATTAAGGCCAGGATTGCCAAAGCAGCCTGTTATAGAGAGACAATGAATCTGAATGTGAGTTAGGAAAAACAACCTGTTTCACTAAAATAAATTCAGTGTGTTCAGTCACGTATTCAGAATGGAGAAGTTGCTAAGCTTTTCAAAACCCCCAAGAAATAAGTAAAGTAATTAACATAATGAAGTAATTGTTAAGAAAAATATGTTTCTGTTTCAAATTCACTTCACTAGAGCAGTGGGAGACGGTGAACACAAAGGTAAGAAACAACTACCCAGAAGCTACTGAGGAGTCTTTCTAGAGGAACTACAGCTCATTCACAAGTCTGTGTTCAGAACCAAGATTCTGAATAATTTAAGTACCAAACATCCATCAGTTTCAGTAGAAATTGAGAATCCAATATATTTCCATTTTGAAGCCTTCCCTGACTAAAGCACTCAGACGAGTGCAGCACGAAGACCTATGTGGTCCATAGTCCCCCTGAGATATGGCCATCACTTGGGAGCCATGCTAGAGATAGCTGCAGTGTTCTTTTCGCCTTTTGAATCTTTGGAGAAGGAAAAATCAGTCTTCCAAGTGGTCTATCTAGTTTCTTTACCTGTTTTTTTATCTCTCTTTTTTTTTTTTCTATTTGGTCAGTCCAAGTCCACGAAACAGAAGAAACCAAAATAACTGGATTTTAGGAATCCCTATCATCTTTGCAAGGAAAAATGTTTCTGTTTAATCTGTTGTTAGCTTTTCAAAACCAACTAAATTCTTTTGCCAGCAGTCTTTTTTTTTATATATATATTTCTCCATAGAGAAAACTGTGAGATTAAAAACTACAATGTTTGAGAATTCATTACTGGAGTTATCATGCATTAATGTTATGATTAATTTAAAGCATTAGTGTTATCAACAGTACTGTTGATTAGTGCTATCAACAGTATTCAGGCTTCACTTCCTACTCTGATGGTCTAACAGTATCAAAAGCGGAACATTCCTATTCAGGCATTCAATTTTTTTTATTATATATCAAAAACAACAACAGGACCACAATTTAAAAGAAGAGTGCAATTTAGATAATGTGAATGTATTTGTGGCAGAATTTAAATATTCAGATGAAACAGCCAGTTGCTGAATGGTTATTTTTTTCCTTGCAAAAGGCAACTTTGAGGATATGATGCATATATGTCATTGATGTCAGTGATGACTACAACCCTTCCCTCCTCTTTCTTCCAAGCCAAAAAGCTGTATCAGAGCAGAAAGGATATTGGTAAATGGTCCAAACAGGATCTCCAATATTTTCTTAGAAGAATAGAAGCTCTTGGCAACATATAGAAAATACAGAACATAGTTTCATCCACCAATGAGTCACTTCAATAGTAGGTAAAAAAACGCGAATACCGTAACCTGGATCTGACACAGCTTCCTTCTTACTGTGAAAATCCTGGGCTGAGCAAAACCCAAGAAGTTTCCTCTTCTTTTATTTCTTTTGCATATTTTTCCCATTAGTATCTTTTCTAAGCCTTCGGCATATGCAAAAAAAGAAAAAATCTCTCTATGTAATGGAACTTCACTTACCATGAGTTCTTTTAAATCATTCATTCAAGATCCTGGGAGATGATACTGAAAAGACCTGACTACTTTTCCTCTTATAAAACAATTAATATTAAAAGCTTCAAGGTCTTTGAAAGAAAGAGGGGAGCTCATAGCCTTCTCTTACACTGGTATGCTTGGTTATTACAGATTAACTAAGCCCTTTATCACTCTACGACTGCACAAATTATTTTCTTTCTTTCTTACCAGTAGGTATTGATCTCTAGTCTTGAGAAGCATTTTGACATGAACGTATAATCTGGATGCAAGAAATTCATTTAGTAAGTCCACACCAGAAGTACTTGGAGAAAAAATAGAATCTTTCTTGATCAAGACATTCTCAACAAAATGTTGTCAGAAACACTTTCCAGAAATGCTATTATTCCAGAAACAATAGCCAATTGTCGAGCAGTTAGATCTACCATCTGAGACCAGGAAAAACTGGCCTCCAACTTCCTGCTGCATGATTTCAAGGAGTGACTTGAATCTGCATTTGCCATGATCAGTTCCTATACCAAAGGATGTTTGATAATACAATAGGTAAGAGTTCCCTCAAGGCAAGAACATATAGCTGGGTCTCTGATGTAGCAGATCACTGCCATATTTGCTAAATTGCATTTCTTTTTTTTTTTTATGAAAAGAAAAAACACCCTCATTTTCCTTCTGCATGAGGAGGAAAATGCCTTTTTTTTTCCCCTTTTTCCTTTTTTTTCTCTGCAAAGAGAATATACTACACTGCTGGCTGTCTTCTCTGTAGGTGACAAGATGAAATTACCAGGTCTTTGGAGTTTTCCTAAAAGTGTAACATCATCTGGAAAGACTGTTTTAGATTCTGTTGAAGTTAGCCAAATTGCATATCCATAACCTAAAATATTTGTTCTTTAAAATAGAAGATTTTTTCTACATTTCTTTAAAATTGAAATTGTTATTCTTTACTTGTAGTTAGTTGATAAATGCAAGCCAGATAATTCCATAGTGCTTTCATTTGCATCTCTTCCATCCATAGTCAGTTATACTTAGTGCTTTTCAGAAGACTTGGTAAGCATAGGATAAACCTTGACTGTGAAGCAGGTGTGCTTCATGGCATACCTCATCATCCCGGTTTCACCACAGTTCAAACTGGGGGAAGTTTGAGCAGAACATTTGCAGCGCCTCTCCCCTCCCCCAAGTCTATATGCTCAAGTTTCCCTCTCATGAGAATGATGCCCAGATAAGAGGAGTTCACTCTAATCAGCATGCAGAGGGGGTGTATATCTGAACAAATACAGAAAACCTAAATTCCACTGCATAGACCTTTCTGTAGATCAAAGACCACTGAATTGTTAAGAGAAGACATTTTTGGTTTTCAGCTCCAAGGTGCCCAACAGTTTTGGGGTTACATCTCAAATTTGACTTAATTCTGAAGATGAAGTAGGATCTGGTTTAAGAGACTGTCTACTTAAAGTTAAGAATTTTGCTGTAGCTCCCTGAAATAAACTCTTTATCACTGTCTATTCTGACTGAAAGCTGTTTTTATAGATATTTGATAAATACAATCTCTAAATAATAGATGCATTACTTTTTAAATACTATCTGATTAGGAATGGAATTTTGAATTAGATGGTGATCACTTCTCCGTAATTGTGGAAGCTATACAAGAGCGAATGTCAGTAGAGGGGTGACTCACTGACTCAACATTAATAAGGCCAGAAGGAATCACAGCAATCACTTCGTCTGACCTTTTCTTTAAACCACAGAACTGCCTGGAATTACTGTATGAAGTGCTAGAAAAGTGTCCTGTCTAGATTTTTCAATTTCTGTGATAAAGAGTCCATTTCAGTCTCCGGAAATTTTTTTCTAATGGTTAATTAATTCTTTCTGCCAAACTTCTGCCTTATGCCTGCATTATACTTGACCAGCTTTCTCTTCTATCCAGTGGATCCTGTCATCTGCTGGGCTGAAGAGTTCATTATCACAATTTGTGGACCTGCCTCATTACTATGAATCTGTGTGGCTATGATGGCACTGCTGACTGACCATGGTTACCGCCACCCGTTATCATGATTCCTGTTCTCCTTGCTCAGGTGCTGTGAAGCTGTGCCCTTGCTGGTGTCCTGCCAGTTTTGTTGTCACCCTGGCTCCTGGTTCAGCTTCCCTGGGGAGCAACTCACTCTTGCTGCTCCCAGAGAGAGCCTGATCATGCTGAAGATAAGTCCCTTAAAAGCCAGTTTTAGCTCTTCTGGCTGTGAAGGAAGTTACAGCCCAGTCTTTCCAATCCTGGATTGGGCTTTTTCTGAGCAGTGCATAGGTGATGTGAGGAACATCAGGTTCATACAAACTCAAACAGCTGGAAAGCATGCCAATTACGAGATTTGATGAGATTAAGCCACTTCTAAGGTTGCCAAAGTATACACATATATGGGCATCAAGCCTTTTCTTCCCTGCTAATGAGCACAGATTTGAAAAATTCACTTTCAGTAAGTGTACTGGAGGATAAGAACATGTTCTAGAAAAAACATTAAGAAGATGATAGCCTAATGGCTTCATAAGAAGTTGAAAAATGCTAGCTGATATTAAACATCTACACGCACATGAAATAAAAAAATTACTTGACAAAGAAAGTTAGACACAAGGAGACAATTTAGAGGTAGACAAAACATTGTACCTGACATGATGTATCAATGGCAGTTTTCTATCATAGGATCTAATTAATATGGCACATGAGTTGTCACTAGGATCACATCACAGTTCTGACTAATCTTATTTCTCATGACCACTCAAATTAAGTAATATAATTACTCACGCAGTGGAAAAAGTTGACTTCTGAGAATGTCTATTTCCAGTTCAATCACATAGCAAAACACTTTTTAGCACTCTAGGCAGATGATGTATTCCTAATCATGCATTCAGCTCAGTAATATCTGTGCCTTGCAGTTATTATGTGCCTGCCCTTCCTTGTGGAAAAAAAAAAAAGCCACTCAAAAACTTCTTCTCCACATAACCATTATATTAATGTTAATAAAACATCACTTATGTAGTTAAAATCTTATAGTCTTGAATCTCTTTTTTTTTTATTCAGTGCATAAAATGAGACCAACATAACTACTGTCATTGAGAAACAATGTGACATGAGTTCCTTCATGGTTCCCTTCCCAATACTTCTGAGGACAATACTTGGCTATTAGGGCTTGGTACAATGGGACCTGTGTGTGCCATGTGACTCCGTCATGCTTCTTTAAGAGCCAAATGCATGTCAGGTAACGCAACAAGACTAGCTTAGGAGCACTATAATTAGCTGCTGGTATGGGTCAATAGAATATTATTGTCCATAATTCCCAAGATGAGAGAAAGCATGTATTCAGGCCATGCTGAAACATGTAGTTTACAAAGTAAATTAGTCAAGAGCCTCTCCTGAAGGCAAATCCTGCAGCAGAAAATTGATTATTACTAGTTTTACATGACTCTGCTTTCGCTGCTGAAGGATACGAGACTAGCATTTTCAATAAAGCAGTGGATAACCAAAAGTCTCTATCCAAACACAGATACCTTTTGAGTCATTACTTTTTCTACAGATGCTGGCATCAGATTGTACAATTCGGTTTTTATGTATTGAAGATAAGTAACGTGCAGGTTGTGAGTCAATGCCCCGGAGAACATCAGTGAGATGATCAAAATTAATCCCCTTTCTTCCAAAAAAGTGCAGTCAGATGGCTGATGTTAACCCACTAGTTCACATCAGGAGTGTGCTCTTAGAGTGACTATCCTGCTCAAAGTCATCTACCTTGCTTGGTTTGCAGAGTGTGCAGCCTTAGATGCACAAGCTGGTTGCCTTTCAGATGAAGTCAACTATGAAGTGACACATCAAGAGCCCAACAAATGCTTCCAGCCACTAACAAGCACTCAGTACAAACAAAACTCTCCCAAAATACACTCCATAGGGGTGTAGGTAGGATCCTCTGCATCAGCTGTTTTCCTCCACAGAGCCATTTCTATTGGATCATATTGTATGCTAAAGTAGACACAGCCTTCATTAGTGCATTCAAGATTTAAGTAAAGGAAGGATCAGGTTTTATGCAAAAGATTAAGAAAATCATTCAAGATTAAAAGAACATTCGAAAGGAAATTGAATGTCCCTTTTTTGGAAAAAAAAAATCTTGTTTATAGCAGTTAACTGAGAACTACTAGCTCACGAACTAACATTTCAAGGACAAAATTATCATCTTCAACATTTTTACACAGTTAGGTTCACCCTCAACAATATCTTTCTAGTGAAATCAATTGAGCTATGTATGTGAATACCTATTTAAATATGTTATTAGGAATCCTTCTTCTTTCAGAAATTAATCAGAGGCTGAGTTCCTGAACTAAGACCCAAAGAGAAAGATTTTTCTGATAAAGCTATAAACTGGATGTCAGAGTGATTAAGCATGTCTTTAAAAATACAAGACACTTAGCTCATTGCTTATCATAGAATTTTTTTTTAAACTTAATGGATTCTTCTTTTGCATAAATTTAATTTGGGAAAAAAAAATAGACATTTGTGGATACTTTGAACCCTTCAGGTAAAAATTAAATTTTCAACTGACATCCAAAGTTTCATTATCTAAATAAGGACTATACAACCCAGCCTTTGTTGGCTTTGGTAGTAAATAAAAGACTGCTCTTTGGATCTGTCACCCTACCCTACCTACAGAAAAGAATTGTTACCCTAGACTACATACTGGGAACGAATCTCTGTCCCATGCTAACTGTCGAAGTGCTCAGGGAACTTGTTTGGGAGAACGGTAGTTAACAGAGGCCAGTGCAATGGCCAGGACTGTTCTCACAGTTTAACAACACAGCTGGTCAAATTTACCTATCTGGGGATGTTAAATTTGTGAGTATAAGCACAGCGACTAAATAATCACTAACTGACCCAAGACCTTCTGATTAGTAGGTCCCAGAATAGCAGTGCTCCAGACACTTTCCAGACTTTGAGCTGTTGCCATAAATGGCAACTCCTTTAGGACACTTTTTTTTTACAGTACATTTACTTGCAGAAATTCAGATTAGTTGAAGGCTTTGATCTTCAGCAGAAAGTAATTGACCCTGAAAAATCATTGGAATTATAATCCTGAGCAGTTAATTCCCAGAGTTTACATTCTGCAATATCCCCCCCAGAAATGTCAGCATATGTACATAAAGTTGAATGGTCTCAAATATACAACGCAATTCCCATGTCTTTGAGCAAACACTAACCTTCTGTTCCATAAGTAATGTGTTTGTAGGGATTGCTGCAAATGCCTTGTAGCTTGTCTTGATCTTGTACTGCTAAAAGGGTAAACCGGGAAGCAAGAAGAGAAGTAAAGGAGAGTAGAAGAGGGAGAGGGAGAGAGAGAGGGAAGAGAGGGGAAAGGTACGACAGAATGAAAGATGATTCCCACTGTCTTGCAGACATGTTGAAAAAATACAATGCTTACTTACTACTTAGGAAAGCTATTTCTTAAAAAAAAAAAATCTAATGTTTCTATCAAGATTTAAAGGACTGTAACATACATCTTTTGCTTTTAGGAATGAAACAGGACAAAGTGAATTCCCTGCACCAGCTTATAACTTCTAGAGTGATTTTAACAACTTTCTGCTGACTACTGTCCTTAAATGAATATCAGCAGAAGCTGTGAGTTTTTTCCAAGTTTGCTTGTGATTTGATACGATACCACACAGCTACTTCTGCCAACATTTGCACCTCAACAACTGCTGCTGTGTGATGTGATCCTGGACCACTAAGCCAGAAAGATTTCTATGATTGGCTTTAATGAGACTGATAAGGATCCTTAAATGCTGAATTACTTGTGTGAGTGGATAGATCATTTAAGACATGTCACAGCTTTTCATCTCCTGAATAAGTAACTCTACCACCCAAACAAATATTTCAAAACAAGTGTAGGAACTTTCACACTAACCAAGCATACAAAATGCATGGGTTTGGGTACGAAAATTCTAAGATCAGCCTTAAAAATTATTCTTTTTAAACAATTTATATTTTAGACTATATTAGCTTTCCAAGTTATTTTTAACTCTTTAGAAACCATACTTTCTACATTGTCTTTGAAATTATGGAGGTTGAATTCAGTAATTTTCACATGATTTATGAGATTCTTCTATGATTACATGAGTTCAAGAGCTAGGATTCTTAATCACATGCAAGCTGAAATTTATTTTTTTAACAATTATTCCCTTTTCAGCAATCTTTTAATAAAAAATAATAAATTCACACAAAAACAGAGCTTTAAGTCATTCATTGATTTTTTTTTTCTGTGATAGTCACTCAGAAATAAAGTTACTTGTTAATCAGTTCAGGTTTTTTAATGTACTGTTGTCTGCAACAGTGAATGCTGGTGACTATGAGATAGCAGGCTGAGTAGCATGCTGTACCTTGGGTAGTTCTTTTGTCACTTTTTTTTTTCTGTACATCTAATAAAAGTCTCAATTACAGCAGAGGAGCCAAAATTTTAATTCAGATAAGAGAAACTTATATGATCCTTGCACCTCTTGAAATATTGTAGGACACCACCTTTTAATTCTTTCTGTACCTAATATTACGTTTGCTTTCAACTTTACTTATATTCTCAGTCAGAAGTTGGAGACTGACAGACATTCAAGAAGTCAACGATCACAACAGTTGTATTGAATTAGTAGTATGAAAAAGCAGATGAATGCAAATGCTGAAACTGCAAAATGCACTTTTTTTCCTTTTTTTTTTAGGGGTCAGGATAGTAATTTATATGAGATTTAGTGATTCTAACTTGGATGTCTACAGTTTAGGTTCTTCATTCAAAACTAATGCCTTTTATAGTCACAGGCATTTCTACAGAACAATCCATCTCATCCCAAAACAGGTACCTAGAAAGGTAAAATAAAATCATCCTGTAAATACACCATATTCTCTCTATTGGCTATAAAAGAATTGCCCAAATCATGCTTGGATATCTGCCTTTCAACAGTCAAAAGTCACGAGTTGAATCCTGCTCTTTGCAAATTTAGTCAACAACACTCTGCTATAAATATGAGTAGGTTCATATATATATTCTTATATATACAAAATCTATATACAGATAAGACATAAAATACTGCACACTGTATTAAGATGAAAGACCAAAATTCCAAGTATTAACATCAGCACATCCACAAAATGTATCCTTGTTTGCTTGTAATTGACATTCAGTCAAGAAAATTACATAATTGAACATGTAAATGAAATACGACATCTTCACTAGCCCGTGGGCTTTTATATATGATGAGATGGACATCGTATATGATGAGAATACTGTGATCACTTTGAAGTTAGTTGAACTGTTTATGAACTGAACAATAAAATGTAAAGGTTTCTATACTGCTTTAATGTGCTTTATCGCTTCCAGATACTGTAGAGCCTGTGAGTAATGTGCTATTTTCACCGTGTCTGAGATGAGTGGGAAGTCTTTAATTCAGTTTCTTGTCTATATGAATATGTTTCTTGACACGTGAGTCTGGGTTGCTTAAAATTATTCTTCAATGCCTAAATACATTTCATAATCTGGTTCATAGGAATCTGCCATTATTTTTAAAGTCATAGACAGTTAGGTCTGCTGGCCTGCACCATGGTACAGCCAGAAGCAAACCAACTCCAATATCAAAGCTCAGGTAAATATCAGCCTGGGGAGTTTTGGGGAAATTATCCTACTTTTCTTGCTCAAATGATCACCTTGGGGACAAACAGGGCACTGCAAAGTGTGCTAGACATATACCTATAAAGGCTTAAAGTCAGCAACTAACCATGGTAGCATAGAGCTTCTCGTGAGAAATCTTTCCTGATTTGTGGTAAGTTGTGCAGCTGTGCTGCACTCTGTGTTGCTGCAGTTAGTTTATTTCCCAGCTGTTTGGGGTAGATCTACATGTATTCCTGTACTACAGTCAAATAGGAAAAATCAAAGGATATGTAGGAATGATATCCCATGAAATCACTGCAAAGAGTTTTCAAACAACAGCCAGAAGCTTTTATTCTATTCTGTTCCTGCAGAATCCGCAATTTTATCTGGCTCCGTTTCATCCCACTGTTCATTTTGCTGTGTTAGGTCCATGAGGACACTATTGAAGTGTCTGCAAAGTCCAGGGAGAGGATTTTTATTTCCTGTGGTCACCGACCGTTCACACTGATCTGTGGATTTATGTTTATATTCACTTTGTAAACAGTTATATTTTTAAATCTTTGGCAAACATAAAGCATGGGAAATCATGTGCGTTCATATATACAAATGCAAACAGTTAAATAAGTTCAGAGGTTATTCCTTGATTTGTGTGAATTGGTGCATACATCAACATAGACGTATAAAAACTCTCCATTAAAGAATCCTTTTTGCATAATTGCTTTGATATGCTAATGAAATGGTTTGATGTGACTACTGAAAAGTACATCCAATGTCAACATTCTGTTTTAATTGGTATTGGTTTAATACATGTCTTAACCTTGCTTCACCCACTGTTGAAGCAAAACTAAAGTTTCAAAATTACACACGCCAAACTCAAGCACTTCCAGATGCTGTGCTTTTCCCTTGATATTCACTTAGCACATTCATACATGCAAAAATCTTGTCATGCATCAAGAGTCATCAGATGGACTAACCCGCTTTTTGTCTAGTTCTAAAGTTGAGCTGATTGGTCCTAAAGAGATCTAAATGTTGCTTAAGATTCTAACGTTGTCTCTCCTCAATCTTTTCCTTTTTTCCTGTGGAAATATGCTGAGGTTTGAGGTTGGAGCATTATCAGTGAGCCTGGTACCATTAACATATGAGCTAAGTAGAAGTTTGTTGATCTATGCCATAAACTAAGTATAGAAATAAATGAGAGCAGGAGGAAATGTTGTTGAATGCACACTATTATTAACTGTAAATGAAGTCTCAGCCTCACATTTTAAAGCCATAAGAGACCTTTCCTGCACTGTACACCTGGCTGCATTTGATCTAGAGACTTCAGACCTTCCTCATCCCCGGTGGAGCCAGTTTTGTCTGTGTGATTAAAAATTGCACCAGACTAACGGTCCAAGTCCATTAAACTGCTGTACAATCTCCCTGTCTCAATGGGCTGGTGGGGCAGTTTCGAAAGTGCCACCATATCACACGATCAAGCAGAATTAGCAGGAAAAGGGACAGTAGGGAGGACAGAAAGGGTGTAATAACCTCTGCAAATATAAACCCAGCAGTATAAGTTCTCACAGTGCTCATGCACTGACTAGCAGAAACTTCAACTTCTTTGTAGCCTGCAAGCTCAGTCATGCCTTCCAGTTTTGTCTCAGGGGCTTTTTTCTTGGAATTTCTACAATTTCATTTCTCTTTTTGTTTCATTAAGTAATACTGACAGGCTGTAGTGACACTGTACAGCTGTGCTTGGCACAATGGTTTCTCTTGGGTCATTGAGTTTTTAAAAGAACCATTCATGACAATTGCCACTTTGTGCTGATTTAAACCTCTCATTTTCAATTAACATTTTCCAAGCAGTTCAAGTCACCCTTGCCACAGCCAAGTTGTTAGGAATACATCTGACACAACTTGGTCTGGTAGACCAAGCTGAAATTTTGGGCTGTGAACAAATAAATCAATAAACTACAATAGCCTTTTGGTGACAGGCAGAGCTCAGATATCAGCAAGAGGAGGCACAAAGGAAGCACAGAGCACAGAGGTAAGATAAAAGAGGCTGGAAAGCCTTCTGCAGCTCTGATGTCTTCTGCCACCAGCTCTTCCTATTTGTAGATCAGTTCCTTTTGTTCTCACCTACCTGCCGCACGTTTTTTGATCAGCTTCCTTCCCTTCCCTTTCCCGTTCTTGAGATTTATCTTTAGGTTTAAAGTGTGACTGGTTCCCAAGCCCTCCTGCTGCAATAGCCATCGTTGCTTATTCTCACTCTGCTGGGACTCCCCTGCCTTTGGGTGGATGACAAACAGCAGGAGTGTGGCTCATCCGTCGAGTGTGAGACTTTCATATTCACAGTAGCTCATGTTGTAGGAAGCTTGACTGTTTTTTCCCCCTTATCTTCTGTCTAGCAGAGCAAAATCAGAGAAGTACCAAAGAAAAGGAAGAAGCAGGAGATGTCCTCATCTTCCCTTTGTCTCTCTTGGTCCCAAAGTGTCTGCTCAGGCTGAGTTCAGCCGTGCCTCTGGGCTGGTCCCCGAGCAGCTGGGGTGAGTACAGCTGCCCCAGGGAGCGGGGAGGACAGGCGGGATGGGGCACTTGGGAGTCGGTTGTCACTGAAACAGCCAGTTCACATCAATCAGGTTAAGCTGCTTCTAGCTCAGCCCT